CTATTCACAGCTGAGTTTTAGACATACAATGTCCCAGCACTGACCCCACCACCCGTGTCAACTCCCCTCCACCCATATTTCCAGGTTCCCTTCACCTCCATCTGTTTAGAAATTCATGCTTTTAACAAAATACATTACAGTATTCTTATAAGTGTGTGAATTGGTTTATAAGATACTTTTCTTCCATGAGGTTCCAAGTTGGATCTTCAGAGCTGAGAAAATTTGGATTTCGGTGGAAAGTTCTGCAAAGGAAGGAGATGCTTCAGATGTGTCCAGAGGAGAGGGACTGTGTCGGGCTGGCTTCTGGGGCAGAATTTGCACAAGGAGCAAGGATGCTGTGCCTGGATGAAAGATGAGGCCCTTAAGGCTGGCCAGAGAAAGCCCAGAGGTCCTCGGTCCATTTTCCTGCTGTGTCTGGCACAGAGGCCCTAGGGACCTGGCGAGTATGAAAGAACCAACCATCAGCGTCTTCAGCCCCGCCCACCACCGTCCCCAGAGGAGCCGAGTCCCCTCTCTGGCTCTGTAGTTATGCTCCAGGATGGCTTCCATGGCTCCATCCATCAGAGAGAATGCTGGGTCCCTGGCTGATGGCGGAGGTGGGGTGTGCTCCCCCACAACACACATGCTGCTCTAGCATCCCAGGAAGAGAGGTCCCCACATTGACGCTTTAGGGGGCCCTTCCAGTCCGCGCTTCCCAACAGGCCACCAGAGTCACTCATTTCAAAATAATCCCATCACAGCAAGAGAAAGGATTCCATTACTTGGCCCCAGGAGAGCCAAACCCTCCTCTGGAGAATTCCCTTCAGAATCCACATGGGCAGAGAAGGAGCCTCTTCCTCTGCCACTCAGGTGCCTTGGGGCTCCTGACATTTTGTTGTCTGGATTGTTCTTGTTTGGAGGGTCACACCCAGTGATGCTCAGGGATGACTCCTGACTGTGCCCAGGGATCACTCCTGGCAGAGTTCAGGGGAACCATATGGGGTGCCAAGGATCGAACCCAGGTCAGCCACATGCAAAGTAAGTGCCCCCACTGGTTATACTATCACTCAGGCCAGGATTCTGGAAGAGTGGCAGAAAGAAGAATAGATCTTAAAGAGAAAGCCACATACTAGCAAGCTGCTGAGAAAAATGTAAAAACATGTAAATGAGTATTGGGGCTTGGGGGGTGTGGACTTCCCCTGGGAGCCCAGGCCTCAGCCCCCTACCCCCCACTCCGCAAAGCTGCTTCTGTACCCGCTGTAACTGAGAGCGGTGATGGTGAGTGGCTTCCTCTCCCGGGGCAGACACATCATTCATGCACTTGAAAGGGAAAATGTCACAGTGACACCAAATGAAAACTCCTTTTTGTCTTTGAAAAATAGATCCAATCCTCAATAGGACGTGGTTGGAGAGAGAGCTGCGTGAGTGTAATTCCTCAGACACTTTATGGGCCAACCAGAAAACAAGAATAGTTAGAACCCTACCAGGAGAAAATGGGGTTTGTGGGGGCAGCACGTGCTGGTACTCACAGAGAGACACTTGGGATTTGTGACTGACAATGGCTCGCTCTCCCAGGGATGTTTTACTTCTCACAAGGATGGTTTCCACACAATTGGGCTGAGCTTTCCAGATTGTTAGCTCCATAGATGCTCATTTGTTCTCTCCCTTGTGCTGTCTCTTATTCAACAAATGCTTGTGAGGTGCTGTTTTAGCTGGGTATGGAGTGCCATGAAGAGGACCGCTCCCACTCTACCAAAATAAGAGAAACAGATGAAGGGGTGAAAATTGTCCTCTGTTTACATAAGGACTCCCTCTGGAAGACTTTCTGAGAGTTGGTTTGATTTTGTTTTTGTTTGGGGGCTGGGGGCCACACCCCGCAATGCTTAGGGGTTGCACTCTCTCTGCACTCGGGAATTACTTCTAACGGGCTCAGGAGCCTATATGGGGTGTCAGGGATCAAATCTGGGTTGGTTGCACACAAGGCGAATACCCTACCTTCTGCACTATCACTCTGGCACCCTGAGAGTTGGTTTTGAACAGAAGCCAGCAGAAGCATTTGCAACTCTGGACCTGCTCAGTGGTCCATTCAGTAGCTGTGAAATCTCCAAGCAAGCCTGGGGTTATCTACTGCTATTTCAGGTAGACTTTATCACTGGTGCGTAGAGGCAGAGAACATGGCATTAGGCCAGCTTCCATCCACTGGGCTCTGTCTTGCAATCAGTGTGATCTTGAGTGAGATTCCTGCTTCTCACTGGTACAATGAGAACAGCAGCAGCACTAGGGTGGGGTTATTCCACTACAAGCTCACGTGCACTTTTGCTCTCTTCCTGAGTATCAGATGCTTGGTGTTCTGAGTGCTGCAGGGACCCGGGGGCTGCTTTGACTGCTACATTTCCCTTGTATCTATCTATGGACATGGGAGCAATCTTTGGCCCAGGAGATATAAGCAGAAGTTGTTGAATGGGATTCCTAGAAAGATGTCATCAAGTGAGCTGGCATTTAAATCTTTTGGCTTTTCTCCTTTCTTTCATTGTCAGGAATACAGTCATAATGGCAGGAGCTCTAGCAGCCATCTGGACCATGAGATAAATTTGAAGATGAAATTCCTAAACTTAGAAATTCAGTAAGAGCCTGAGACTTACGATTATGCTTTTATGAATGAGAAAAGCTGGTCTCTTTTAAGATCCTTGTGAGTTCTATTCTCTTTCTTGAAACTAGCACCCCTAATAGGAGACGCCGTAGTGGGAGCTGAACGAGTGTGGGAGTCATGTGGACTGCTTCAGTCAGGAATGGTCTGCCTTGGACATCAGGATGGGGGGAATTCACTGTGTCCCCACAGAGGGAAGAGGCTGGCTGGTTTAAGCCACAGACATTCATTATACCTGTGCTTGTACTCTTTGTGGAAGCATAAGATTAAGGTGCCAACCAGTTTGAGGACCCAAGGCGAGCGCTCTCTGCCTGACTCTCAGATAACCACCTCTCTTGTCTTCACACAAGAGGGCCAGGGCGAGAGCTCTGGCCTTTCCCAGCGATTTTATCCACATTTTTCCCCCTCCTTTATTGCTGTGATGATGATCAGAAGAGGCGTGTTGCACACACTAGATTGTGGTGTGTGCCAGAGCTCACATATTTGGTTGTGGTTGTTGCCTACATGCTCTCTAGGATGTAGCCCCTGGATGAGGGGCTCACATAACTTGACACTCACACAACTGGCTATTCTCTCATTCCTCCAGCCTAGGGGTCCCAGACAGAAAAGCAGCTGGACTAGGCTTTAGTGCATGCACGTGGCACCAGGAATCGAACACATGACTTTATGCTTACAAGGCCTTTGTTCCCATTCACTGAGCCATCCCCCCAACTCTTATAAAGACCCTCATTCTATCATGGGGCCACAGCTTCAAGACCTCATCTCAAACCAGCAACCTCCTCCAATGCCATCCCACTGGGAGTTAGGGCTTTGACATAGCAATTCAGCAGACATCAGCTCTTGCCTGGACCAAGCCTCCCAGGAGCTCTCATTATCGTTGGCTTGCTTAAACTAAATTCGCATACTTAGAAAACCTGAATTTCAGCCAGGCCTCTGGGAGGTCAGGCCCCAGAGGACAGAGCACGGAAAGATGGGGCTGGAAACTCTGTCCATAGCGGCCCCTCCCGGCGGTACTTAATCTGGAGGCCAGTCATTCATCAAGGGCAGTGATTCACCACTTTGTGAGGAAGGACCACATCATCTGATTAGGAGGAGGTGACCTCAAGCAATAAGGTCCACCACACACCACACATCCATCTTGCCACTCAAAGTTGTGCGCATCTTGGCTCCATGCACACCTGACAAAGTAGCCACAGCCATGGACTATTCTGCACCCTGCTTGGTGCCAGGCTCTGACCCGGTCCTCCTGGGAGGAAACCCACTAGGCCAGCAGCAACAGAGGGCATGCTCAAAGGGGGACACTGAGCAAAGACACAGGCAGAGAGCAGCAGAATGGGGGTGGGTCCGACTCCCAGAAGCCAGGTGGGGCCAGACACTTTTTACTTGGAGAATGACCATCCCCAGTGACACGGCCTCTGGTGGCAGGACACAGTTCTCTCTGACCCCTCTGACCTCTGACTCATCAGCATGAACCTGATCTCACGCCCTTCTTATTCATCTTTTCAGTCCAAACCCTGCAGAAGAAACCAGAGCATGCCGGAGCCTTGGCTGACAACTGTGATGGGCAAGTACCTTACACGCAGAGCAGGGGAGGAAGGGAGAGGACAGATGGACAGATCTGGGGTGTGTGTGTGTGTGTTTGTGTAGGGGGAAACCATGAACTGGTTTGACTGGGGGGAGAGAAGGAGTCATGGAGGCACATTCTCAGCATTACTCAGTTGACTGACTGGACAGTTCAGTTCTGGGGCTGTGTGGTCGGGGGGTGACTGGGCCCAGCATACTGGGGCCTCCAGCACCACATCCAGCCCTGCGTGGGGGCCGGGTGTGAGGTAAGGCTGAACTCCGGTATCTCCTGAATGACCCCCCTGACCCAGTGCTTTTTTTCTTGGTTGTTCTTGAAAAGCCACTGGATACAGTAAATACTATTTTCCCTCCACTTTTATTCTTGGTTAAGAAGCAGGATTTGTTGTGGTCGGGTGGGCTTGGATGTTGAGAGCTGGAGCGGGTGGCGAAAGGGCAGCAAATAAGGGTGTGGCTCAGCGGCTTCCAGCAGAGGCGCACAGTCAGGGCTGCCTTTGACTCCTCGGCATCGGGGAGGAGGTGCCTTTTATCACCATGTCTTCAAACTCATCTAGTACAAGCCTCACTGCTTGGAGATGTGGATTTTCTGGTGGCCAGGGAATCTGAGCATGGCCCAGGACAGAATCTTAATCTCAGGCTCCTGGTTCTGCAGTTTGGTGCAGATGGGGGTGATGACTTGGTGGGTGGGGACCCTGGCCACTGTGCCCTGGGGCTCTTTAAAGGCACCACACACTTGTTTGGAGCCTGAGATTGGGGCTGGCCTAAGACCAGATAGGAATGTCCACTTGCAAAGGACTCTTTTAAAGATCCCCTGGAAGAGCCCAGATAAGCCTCTGGCTATGGACATAAACAAAGAGGCTGCTTGCTGTTGGCAGCCACTGCCCACCCGCCCCCACAGACAAAGAAAAAGCCAGCTAAATTGACTGCATTTCCTTCCTCCATTTTACAGATGAAGAAACTGAGACCTTGGGAGAAAGAGAAAATCATTTACCCAAACAAAACATAATTTTATGTAGGGGACTGGGACGATAGCATAGCGGGTAGGATATTTGCCTTTCATGCAGTCAACCCAGGGTTGATTCCCAGCATCCCATATGGTGCCCTGAACACCACCAGGAGTGATTCCTGAGTGCAGAGCCAGGACTAACCCCTTAGCATCATTGCTGGGGGTGACCCAAAACCAAAAGAAAAAAACAACCATAATTTTGTAAAGTGCTCTTTGTATTCTCCGAATGAGGTGGCAGAGTCCTGTTACAATATGTGATTCAGGTCAGGACATCTAGTTCTGATCCACGCAGACTGAGCCAGGACCGCCCACACAGCCGAGCTCTGCCTACCTCTGCTTCACTGTTGAGGAATCAGAGACTTAGTGGGGTCAGGCCTGGTGACCTCTAAGAGCCTTTGAATCAAACAGGCTGTCATCTGGTGACCGCCGTACATCATTCTTCCAATTGATCAAACAGATCAAGCAGGGGAGCTGGCTCAAAGGGCAGGAGCACAGGTCTGGCCCGTGGGAGGCCTGGGGGTGGGTCCCTGACATTTCAGGAACGATCCCCAAGCGTTATGCTGGAGACAGCCCTGCTGAACAGTGCTGGGTGTGGTCCCCAAACCGAATAAATGAACATGAACATCCCCACTGCCAACAGCAAAAACTTATAGTGCAACTGTAAAACTCTTTCCACTGAAATGCTTCATTGCGGTAAATTTAGGGACAAGGCCATGAGGCTAGAACAGAGATTCTAACAACAGGGACGACTGTCCCAACTGCTTTCCTATCTTGCATGGTTGAAATTCCTTCTTCTATCCCTCCCTCCTTTGCATCCCAAGACGGAAGTTTCTCTGGGTAGGGAGTGTTAGGGAGGTTTTCCTGGAACTGTCACATGTATCTAGGGCCACGCTATTAGTTGCAATTCTGTTGGTACAAACAGGAAATATGCTAGCTCAGAGCTGAAGATAAAGATGACTCCAGGCTTTTGACTCAGAGCTCAAGGGATATTCCCAAGGGCCAGCATCCCTCTGTCCTTGTCTCCCTCTTCAGTGTAGACCCCATACCAAGTCCATACCCTGTCAGCCTGAAATCCACACAAAGGCTGAACTCCAGTGGAAAGCAATTCAGAGAGACATTCTAGACTTGAGTCTGCTGGGCACTGATTGTGTGGGCATCCCTCGTAGCTGAGGGGAAAACACTCAGACTAGCCAGACCAGATGCAAACTTCCTGCGCTGTGTGGTCTGAGGCAGAGCAAAGGATATTCCCAGAGAAGAATGAGGGGTGCTGCTAAGAACGAGGGTGGCATGGGGGGAAGAGCCCCATCCTCTCCAATGTCGTCAATGGACATAGAGGGCAAGGAGCTACGCCCATCCCAGCCTCCTTCTTACAGAGGGAAAGGTCACAAAGGTGGCCTCCGTGCCCCTCAAGGCAGCTACCTTAAGCTTTGCCCGTGAAGCCTGGAGAATGTCTCCCTGAGTTCCTTGGGTCTGAGCTAAAGATGTCCCTCCCCCCGAAGCCACCTATACTCAGACCCACACCTCTCCACCCCTGGAACTGAAGGGCTCTGCTTCTCTGTACTCACAACAATTAGGTCGCATATTATCTTCATGTGTGTTTATTCTGTTTGCATGTTGGGGGGCTACACCAGGCTGTGTTCAGGAATCACTCTTGACAGGGCTCTGAGGACCATGTGGGGTGCTGGGATTTGACCTTGGGTTCGTCACCCGCAAGGCAAGCACCCTGCCTGCTGTCCTGTCTCTCTGGTAACACCATGTGTTTAATTCCTGAGCAGGAGTATTCCCACGCGAGACCCTGGACTCAGACTCAGCTCTCATACACTCACACCTGCCCTGAGGAACAGCTGACCAAGAGCAGAGACCTATCTGTTCCCCGTGAGCCCCACCTGTGTGGAACGACGGCTGGAAAGGTCCTTGGGAGGGAGTTCAAGGAGACGACTTTGCTCCTGACCAAGAACTGAGCACCACTGGGACCTTGAGGTCACCAGCAGCATCTAGGCCACGGCTCATTTGCAGACCCGAGGCACAAACAAGCATCGTGATGAACATGAAACGAAAGCAGCAAAAGCCAGAGACAGTCTGCTGCTCTCTGCTCATACTCAGAAAAGGCGGAAGAGAACCCTGAAAGAAAGAGCTTGGTCCTCTCAGATGGAAAGGACCCAGAAGACTCGTGAGGCCTGAGGGGCTTGGAGGAGGGGGTGAACAAGTTGGGTTTCTCGGTTCCAGTCCCAAGCCCTGATGTTCTGCCAGCAAGCTGCAGAGCTGAAGTCCATGGCCCAGAGGCACTGGATCCCTTCCCTGGGGCTCCGGGCAGCGGGAAAGCTGGCCGGCTCCTAAGGGCCCCTGTTTTGTGGAAGGGGATGATTGTTCCGTATACTGCCTGACCCACCTGCCATTCCTGATCCCCTCCTCTTCCTCCTGCACCTCGGAGTGGACTGGCTTCCTAGTACACCCTGTGTCTCACTCCTTCTCCACTGCTTGCTGGAGTTTCCTGGCCCCAGAGGCGAGAGCACTCTGGGTCAGAGCCACTTCATTCCTCGGGAGTCTCAGGAAACCTTTGGCGAAAAATGTCAAAGTCAGCAGGCTTCAGGCAGAAGGGGAATCACCCGCGCCAGCCCTCGGCCCTGACCTCTCTTCCGGTGGTGGTCTCTCCCTCTGCGCGCCGTGTCCGTTCCCTGTGCTTTGGCACGCAGGGCTTTTCCCTGCTCTGCGTGTGCCAGACACAGCCCGCTCAGGATTCACACACTCTCCTGTGGGGCAAGCCCTTCCCTCTCTTGGAGCTTGCTGCTCAGTGTCTTCAGACCTTAGCTCGGGAGGCCTCCTCTCACTGCCCACTACTGAGCCAGAACTTCAGCCACGCCACCTCCTGGCTCTGTGTCCTTTTTGCTCATGACACCGACTATGATCTGAAACTGTCTGATTAGGGCCAGGAGACGCTCAACAGGCTAAGGTCATGGTTTGCATGCAGGAGGCCCAGGTTGAAGCCCCGATGTCACTGGGAGTGAGCATTCCTTGCCCCCAGCATCACTGGGTGTGGCCCCCAAACCAAAGATGAGCTAGGAACTATCTAATTCATTTGTTTAGTTGCCCGTAAACTAGAAGATAAAATAATAAAGGCCCTCCCGTTGATCATCGATTTGCTCGAGCGGGCCCAGTAACGTCTCCATTGGAGACTTTGTTGTTACTGTGTCTGGCGTATCGAATACTCTCGGTAGCTTGCCGGGCTCTCCGAGAGGGGCGGAGGAATTGAACTCGGGTCGGCCATGTTGGCTGTGTGCAAGGCAAACGCCCTGCCGCCGTGCTATCGCTCCAGCCTAGAAGATGTGACAAGAATAGTCCCCAACAAATGGCGATGCTCAAAGAATATTTGACAAATGAAAGAACCTATGAAGGAAGGAAGGGGTGGAGGGAGGCAGGCAAGGGAGAGTTCATCCTTTCACGGGGGATTGTATTCACTCAGAGAATTCTCATCCAATACTTAGCACAGAAACTACTGAATATACGATAATTATTATGCAGCTATCAGGATGGAGGAGTGGGTAGTGTGCACACACATTCACACATGCACACAAACTCATATTCACACATACACAGCATACCTATACACATACTCATACACAGACACACTCACAACCTACACACACATTCCCACATACACATGTTCTCACACTCACACGTTCACTCATTATAGGATACCCAAGCACACACACACTCACACACATACTCACATGCATACTCATACATAAACACATACACATATTCTCACACTCACACATTCACACAGACATAGGACACCCCCCACACATACTCATACATATAATCACACACAGACTCATATTCACAAGTATACACACTTATTCACATATACGCACACTCACATACTCCACACACATTTACACATGCACAGCACACCTGCTCACACCCACTCACACACATTCACAGCTATCGAGTACATCCATTCACACACACTCATACAACCACTTACACACATACTCATACATCCCCTCATGCATACACACACTCATTAACAAGTACACATACTCACACTCAGGCATATATACATACTCGCGCGTGCGCACACACACACACACACACACACACACACTCGAAGGAAAAGCCAAAGAACTCTCCCCGCTGCCTAGATTCACCTGGTTTCTGATGAGACCTTGGGGCTCATCAGAATAAGGAACTTCCGGGCTTCCCTCGAACAAATGCTGGAACCCAGGGCAGACCCCCGGGTTTGGACTTCATTTTCTTTTGGCAAAGCATCAGCTTTTCTTTTCTAAGGGAAAAATAAAATACAAAAAGACACTCACATAACATCTTGGAGATCAAATGGCTCTTGGAAAACTGCATTTTGATGAGTTAGGGAATCAGAACCTTATGGATTCAATCCTCCTTAGATCTCCTGGGGAGAGCGGGAGAGGGAGCAGGAGAAGGACAGGAAGGGCCGCAAAATGCAGCCCCAACTTTTGCCAACACAGAACCCCCCCGCCCAGGAGGGATGGTCTGAAACATCTCGACTCCTCACAGGCAGCATTTGAAGCACATGCCAACATGCCAGTGACAGAGTGTGAGTGGTGAGTGTGTTACGCAAATGTTGCAAAAGTTGTGTGTGTGTGCTATGCAAAACATTGTTGTTGCTTTTTGTTTGTTTGGGGGCCACGCCCAGCAGTGCTCAGGGCTTACTCCTGGCTCTGTGCTCAGGGATCACTCATGGCAGGTTTGGGGAACCATGTGTAAAGCAAACAAGCTACCCGCTGAACAATCACTCCAGCCTCAAAAGTTTTTTGTTTTTTAAACTCGCATTTCTTTTCCTGTTTCCTGACCCCCACAGTGCTGGCTGGGGATCCTGGTGGTGACTGGGAAGGCTTGATGACTGGACATTAAGTTTGTGTCCTTTGTGCTGCAAGCAATCTCCAA